TATACAAAAATAAGAATTTTGGTGAAAAAAACATATTTTCCATAGAAAATTATTGGCAATCAAATACACCCTTAATTCATTTTTCCTTTTTATATGTCAGAAAATTGCCGATGGAAGCTGGTTAGTTTCAATTTTTTGCCACTAAAATTTAGTGAAATCTCAATTGGATTACTTAACTTTTAATTTTTCCTCAATTATTAGATTGTAAACTCCAATTATTCCACCCCATTAGCTCATATTGTTAAGGTTTATGCTACATGTACGTTATGATATTCATAAGGGTGTTCATAATATACAAGTGACATAATATCATTAGAAAATTGAAAAATAACTTTTTCAATCTTCTAATTATGAAATTTCACATGTACATTATGAACACCCTTATGAATACCATAATGTACATATAGAATTATTCTATTGTTAAACTAGCATCCTAACTCTGCATGGAGAAAATTGGCGATAATTAAACTAGGGAGGGTCAGGGGCGAATCTAGTATGAACGTTCAGTTCGGGCGGAGGTTGACTTTAACTGTTGACCGTCGACAATCAACGATCGTAAAAATTCGATCCGGCTGGCGGCCGATCATTTATTAAAATTTGATTAAATAATATAAAAAAAATTATTCAATATATATGTAAATGCACTAAAAACGTAAAAATTATATACATATGAAAATATAGTTTAATACAACCCAAAATATTAAAAAAATATACAATACATATCCACAAGTGATAATTCATTTTTAACTATAAAAAATAGCATTATTCACAAACATTGCTCTTAGCAAGTAGAATTGTGAATGCATAAGCCCCTTTTTTGCAAATGTTTATAAGCTATTTATAATTGGTCCAATCATTTTTTATTCATACAGTTAGTGAGGCATAAAAGTACTACCTACTCATCTGTTTTTCATTTTAAATTATTTATAATTTAAATCGATTATTATTAACAATTCAAAAGCATAATTTAAATTCGAAACCCACTAGCAACCTTTATTATCGAATTTCTAGAGTAGAAGCAATATTACTAAAGTTCTTGTCATGTAATCTCATGAACTGGAACACACTTTAAATTTATGGCCTGATTAATAGAAATTATTTGGGAATAATGAGTTATTGAATAGTATTTTTTTGAGAATATGTAATTAAAAAGTAAGAAATCTTTACTGGTTTATGTGTATAATATTTTACTGTGTGAATGTATATTGAAGAATGATCATGTAGCAAATAATTTAAATTTTTAAAGGATGACAAACATAGACTTAAAATTTACTCACGATCTATGGAGTATAATTTCTAGAGGATTAGTACCTAAGTTCTTGTTGCATAATCTCATATGGAAATGCCAAAGAAATTTCGTGATCTTGTACTTTTGTCGAAAACAAAATCTAAGAAAATGATTATTTGGAACTTATAAGGACTCAACTCCCAAGTAGCAAATGCCAAACACATCTTAACTTGGCTTATGTTTTACAACTATTATTCACAGTATACGAAATCCAAAATGATCCAAATATTCTAGATTTTGTCCAACGCCATGTATCCCTATAGAGTCAAGTATGCATAAAGATTAGTAGTTAAGAAAAAAGAGTGAAAAAGCAGCGATGTTGGCCCAACAGCCAAAGTCATTAGATTTACAGCCAGCCCAAATCCTCTCTTCCTCTTCTTCTTTCTTCGCGTGCGTCTCTGGGTCTCTGTCTGCAAATTTCTACTCTCTTCCTCCGACGATCAGTGAATCTAGATAGGGAGCCCAACTCATCAGATTTACAACCAGCCAAAATCCCCTCTTCCTCTTCTTCTTTCTTCACGTGCATCTCTCGGTCTCTGTCTGCAAATTTCTGCTCTCTTCCTCCGGCAATCAACAAATCCAGCTAGGCCAGCCGCCCTAGCTCACCACCACCTAGATCCACCACTGGGGAGGGTGCCACACGTTTTCTAAGCATTATTTATACTGCAAGTGCACGTGTCAAATTTTGTAATAAAGTAATGAAGTAACAATTGTCGAACTTCGAATTCGATTGAGTACTATAATTATTTTAACTTTCTCTTTATTTAGAAAAATCAAATTTTTGGAACAATATATTTATACTAAACTAATGCAATTAAGATGAAGAATGCAAATAATTGAGGCAAATTGTGAAGTTTTTATCAATCTATGAAAGTCTGGGGAATGATTTCACCGTACTCTCAACAATGTTTTTCAACTTCTATCGTTATTTCTATGAATTTTTTCAAAATGTATAGGCAAAAACCCTAAATTAATCTTATTCCCCCTCTCGTGTGGCGAATAGAACCTATTTCTATATTTCAATTTCAACATCTCTATTCCAAATTGAAAATATAAAAATCATCCGCACATGGTTCTTGAGTGAAATAAGTCTCAAAGATTTCGTACTTTCTCGAAGCCTACAAAGTCTAGGTTATGTTGTTTTTAGATCAAGCCCAAATTTGCCTCTCTTGAGTGCCGAAATTTAAAATATCAAATCATTCAATTATCGATCAAGTAATTAAAAGCATTACGCGAGAATCAACATAAATAAATTGGCGAAAAAATAGAAGAAATAACTGTATTAGAATCAAAGCATGTCTCAAGTAGGTTACATCAAATCCTAGATTTGAAGTTTTAGAACATAATTGAGATTATTGACAGATTAAATTGAAAACAAAGAACATGGAGAAGAAAATGAATAAGAAAAACTCGTTTTGCCGCTTGATTTCTCCTCCCATAGGTCGTCGATTCTCTCTCAATCAATTGGTGTTCTTCTTTGCCTCCTTGTGCCATCTCCTTTGAAGTTCTGCGTTTGCTAAGCTAAATCCTCTTCAATTCTCCAGCCATCTCTCTTGCCCTTCTTCAAATTGTCCCTCCAAATAGGTAAGGACAGCTGCAGCTCTTGAAGTTTATCTCTGGTTCCTTCCCCCATTCTAATTAGGTTTTTGATCTGTATTTATATTAATTTGGGGGCCTTGGACGAGTTGAAGAAGAATTTGGGACGTGAAGAGAACCTAAAACTTGCAAAACTTTCCTTGCTAGGCAACATCACGACTTGATTCCTTTTGTGGCACTCAGCGCTGCTGCGCCACACATTTTGCTTCTCCTCTTTCAATTGTGCGTTGTGGCGCTTGTACCGCCCTGGTTTCTGCTTCTTCCAGTGGGCACTGTTTGTCACTCGTCTTGCTGCATCCTCTCTTCTTGTTTCCTTTTCCATTTATTTCTTTGATCCTTTGTGCTTTCATTTCACCACTTCAACCACCTAGCACATAACATCAAAACCTCATGTTAGAATGCCCATAACTCATAAAAATTAGCTAAATAACAAGCTTGAATGACATTGATCTAATGAGTGAATATATCACTCATCAGAGGGGAAAATTTCACCCTCCCACTTGTCTTCATCTCTACCCCAATTTTCGAAATTTTGTGACAGTGACGGGGATGGTAATTATCATCTCGTTCCCACTCGATCCTGTTGTCATCCTTAAGTCTAACATATGTTATGCTTCAAGGTAATTGCACAACTAATTAAGTCATGAATGCAAAATTAGAAAATATATTGAGGTCTACGATATCGTAGTTCATAATCAGGGACTAACAAAGTGATTAACGTTTAAAGTAAATTAATGTTAAGTATTATTATAATAAATTAAAGTTAAATGACTCAATTGAGATTTTATACGAACTTGCGATGATCAAAAAATGAAATTTACCATTGATCAACCGTCTCCCCATTTTCTCACTCACATAAAGACGTGACAAGACGAATGGCCAATTTCACACACACACACATACATACATACATACATACATACACACACACACACATATATATATATGGAAAATGTCATTTTTCATCCAAATTTCTACTTTTATGGTTGTTTTTTCATGAAAAATATTTTTCAATTTTTGATCATATGACCATATTTTCTTCAAAATAAGGAAAATATTTTGTTTAGAAATGGGTAGTTTTTATTTTGTTTAGAAATGGGTATTATCTCTTTCTAATCTAATTGCCAATGAAAAATAGATAAGTATAAAATTTTTAAGATTGAAAACTAAATCAATCAAACACATTTACCACACATGTAGTGGGAAAATTTCACTATAGGACACCCAACTTTAAATTATGTTTTATATTGGTCTTTCAATTTGAATAATGCTATTTGCAATGAAGACTACCGACAGTCGGCTTATATGGCGTACAATTGGAAATTTTTCATTCGATGTATAATTCAAAAAATAGCTATCATATGTATGTATCAAATACCAAATTGTCAAATGTATGTCATATAGGACGACTACTGACAGTTTTCACTACGAATAACATTACTCTTTCAATTTCAATGACTTGACTTGTGTGTTACAAATTGGAACGTGAGATTCATGTTCAATTTCAATTTCAATCCTAGATGATGTCTTGTCATATTTGACCGAATACATGCACATAATTTTCCTAATACTATGCTACAACTTAACATGTAGTATATTCAAAGTACGCCTCGAGTAAAGTACTTGTCATCACATCTTTGTTGTTTGATGAATATACCTATTAGTCTTCATTATATTCGGGCACCATCAACTATGAGATTCGATTCCATGAACATGTACAGAAATAATGTACTAAGCATAGTGACATGACACATCAATTCAACGAATAAGATATATTTGCGATATCAACCCTTAAACTTATCAATAACTGTGTACATATATAGGAAATAATATGATTAGTATGACAGTCATATGTATGTCACGTAGGACAATTATCGATAATTCTCAACAGGAATAGCATTATTCTTCAAAGAATATAGGACAGAATAAAAGAGTGATAATGCCAAGGATGCGTAGGGTCTATTTACATAATCTATTCCTAATTATTTTTCAAATGACAATACATATTGTAAATCAAAATTCAAGAGTTGAAGAAACTGAAAATAAAAGATTAGTCTCTTGTGAGACTATCTCCACGTTATTGTGAATTATTTTCAAATTTTCACCATTTTTTAGGCTACAAGAAGCTGATCAAATCTGGCAGTTCTTGATGGTGATGTTGGGGAAGAGGTAGAGTCAATGAGGCTTCCATAAAGGGATTCTTTGGTACTTCTGTAGAACTTTCTTCGTCGAATTTCTCCCAATTATCTGTGATTATAGTTTTAAAATCATTCCTCGAATCCATAACAACAATGGCATTCTCCTCTTGTCGATTTAGTACCAATCCGTCATCCCCAGATTTCTCCGGGAACCCTTTGATTATCTGCTGGAGTTCTTGGATTCCCTCTTCAGGTACGCGCTCAATGCAAGGCAATTCTGAGGAGTTCACCACACCAATATCATGGCAAAACTCAAAATAGGAAGAGAGTTGGTCACCTTGAATCATTGCCTTCTGCACAATTTTGAGTGCCATTGTTGCTTCAACCTTACCAGAAGAATAAATATTCATCAAAACAGTGGCAATTCCTCTGCAAATATTCCCATAAAAGTCAAAAATCTCGACTATAATCCTGTCCATTGCCTCGAGAACAAGAGGAACCATAGCTGCTTTCGAAAGTGGCTTAATCTGCATCAACAAATCAAGCAAACTCTGCAATTTCTGCAGTAAAACCAACTCATGCATTATCACAAACACATGGTGTGCATCTCTCCCCCTCATGCCTGTGTCTTCTCCATTATAAGTCTGAAAAACAAAAATCGATTTCTGATCAAGAAATCTATAATACGCCCTCACAAACGCATTATGGGACCAATTTTTTCCTGGTTTGTCATGCCCATCTTTAAAATTCGACAAATCAAAGGGCAATCTTCCAATCTTGGGAACAGAAGAGGCCTTACAATTAATCACACCATGCATTAACATCAATCCCTTTAATGCCACCACCCAGTATCTGGTCCTGTACATTCGATTCGAAATGGACCATACCAGGGGCTTGAGATGAGAAGAGGAGAGACGAATCCATTTGTAAATCCCGTCAGAATTTTTTAAATCAATTGAAAATTCGTCGTGGCTGGTGGCTTTAATGACGGCGGCTTCAATGTCCGGGTTCCGGAGGGGACTTCTTTTCGTTAAAGTTGCAAGGAAGATGCTATTTTGGTCCTTCAAAACTCCGGAGGCCCTTTTCCAAAGCCTCATCTCTTATTTTCTCTCCAACCTTTCTCTCATCTCTTTTTCTTCTTTATGTTTTTCCCATTAATTATAATTTTTGCTGTTATTATTATTTTTTTTTAAATTTTGTTATTTTTGTGTTTTTTTTTTTTTTAAAAAATTTTTTTATTTTTTTTTTTTTTTTTTGTGATTTAGAATTGTGGTTTGATGTTCGAAGAAAATTCAACAGGTTTTCCGCTACTTTTCGTTTGACTCAAACCATTATTTTCTCTTTCTTTTCTCTCTCTGTATTGGTGAAAACCATGTAAATAATTTATTTATTTTTATGTATTTTGAGTAAATTTGGTTCTTCAATTGTTAGTTTAACTAAAAGAAAAACCTTATGTGACAATCTATATGTTGATTATCAAATGTGACATTATTATTTTTCTATCAAAACAAGATAGCGCGAATAAACATAGTGATCAACTTGAAACAGAGTGTCGACTCTACCATCAAGACATAAACTTGAAACCAATCAATTGGACGAAATTCACCCAATCAGAAGAAAAGGATTAAATAGCTCGATCCGCATCCATGCCTTGTTCTGCAAAACCAAGAAAAGACGAAAAGGGCAAATTGGTGAATACATTTTCAAAGAAAACGGTGAAAAAAATGTTTAAAAAAGTTTCTCTCCACGAACACACCAAACCCAATAAAGATTAAAGTGAAAAAGAGATGAGAAATCGTAAATTGTGGGAATCTTTCCTTTCTTTTCACTGTTCTGAAGATCGCATCAACATCCTCTTTCCAATAAATACATTTCCATCTCTAAATTCTCTATAAACTTAAAACTCTTTGTTCTTACTCTCGGTATTCTCCGATAATATTTTGGCGCGAGTTTTTTTCTTGATGGGTCGCAAAGATGAATCCGTAAGACTCTCTCTAAACAATGTTGCTAAGTGGATCATTTCTATGTACTTATAGTTGTCTGATACTCTTGCACATACAACAGGATTACGAAAAAAGTGTAACTGAATTTGTGGAGGAGACGAGTTACAAAAGTAGCATGGATTTTAATGGAAATGGAGAGAGCTTATTTGGGTTCTGGCCGGTTCAGCACCCCTCTGAACCGCCAGAGGAAGACAGACCCGTCGAGTGCCCAATGCCTGCAGACTCATCTGTCATAAATGCAAGTATTATATCTCGTTACTGCATATTCAAATTAAATGTTCACATGCACCAACTGTTTCTATATACCACTCGAGTCTTGATTGGATAACTAATCGTGTTCTAGGTACATTAGATTAGATAAAACTAGATAGGACAAGTAAAAAATGATAACATTGACTATTATAACTTGATCATCTTTCATTCACATATCGTCTTGATTTACTTAAGAGAGTCGCATGAAGATTAGAAAACAGGCAAATCATCCTCAACTCGAGTTACATCCACTTTACTCGCATAGAATTTCACTATGGGAAAGAGAACAAGCACAAGTTGATGCAGATCCACTAATATTTAGGCTCTCCATCTAGCATACCAAACACTTGCAGTTGAATAGATAAGTGTATAGTATAATTAAGCTTGACTAAGTCTACCATCCTGGTCCCATAAAGCTAATACCCAATATTTATAAGTTGGATTTTGACGTTTTGGAGTAACTATTATTCTGGAATGCTATTCTGGAGCAGAAGGTTCAAGTTCTTATTGACAAAGTCTCCTGTTCAGGGTGATGGCAAATTGCAGCAGAAATTTTCTGAGAGATTGCAGAGTAACTCAGCAGTGTTCAACACAGAAAAGAGACTCAATCGTGTGCTTCCAATTCAAGCAACACGCAAGAGGCATCACGGAGAACAAATGACAAACCTCTTATTAGGGAGGCATTCTCTCAACCAATTTCTTCCACCCCACGACATTACAATGTTTCAAATGCTAAAGAAGTTTGATTCTTGATTGATTCATCATGGATTGTGTGTTAGCATGAAAAATAAATTATAATCTAGTAGCTCAGGGATGCCGAGTAGAGTACTGTGTTGATTTACACAATCAAAGAATAGAGACGAGCTTTAAGACGAGTCATAATGTCACTTTCTATGGAAATGGGAATGTTATTCAAACACCCCCACCCCTTCCCACAGAATCTTGAAATTCATGGCATTATAATATAATAAAAGTTTTTCATATAGAAGAAGAGTAATTACCCATGTCATTCAACAAGGGAAATACAAAGGGCAATGGCCATGCCCAGCATCAACGACACTAAATGAACCGAGGTACTTCTCAAAGTAGAACTGCCATTGTTCATTTCAGCCAACACTCCAGCAACTGAAATGTAGATAAAACCCCCAGCGGTAAACCCCTGCAAGAGTACCAAACAAATGTATAATCATTCACAACTGAGCAATACTAAGGGTGGAGAGAATCCAACTATAGACACAAATGAACTCTCACCTCAATCAAAGAAGATTGACCCGGATCTTGTCCCATCGTCAAGGCCTATATAGTGCCGGTAAATATATTATTTTATGTACTTTTGAAATACACCAGTGATCACAAATAGTAAACTTCATTTTGTTTCAAATTAGTGTCTAAACTTCAACTTTGTTACCCAGTTTGATCATTTCTTTCATATCCGTTAATTTGACTAATGAACAAGCTGAGGTAAAATCTAGTTATTTGCTAACTAGACTGCCATATCAACTTTTCCGTCAGTCAAACTAACAACACGAACAAAATGACCAAATTGTAACAAGTTTCTAAGTTTAGTGACCCAATTGTAACGAAGTATAAGTTCGAGAAAACAATATTTTAGTGACCAACATGAAATTTTGCATGCCTACTGTTAAGTGTTTTTAGCCCTTGAAACATATAGTAAGGGAGGAGAGTAACAAGCTCGTCTTTCTTCCATAATACTTACCAGCGCAGTTCCTGCTAGTGCCACGAGTGCAGATAAAAAGTTAAAGAAGAGAGCTTTGGAGACGCTAAAACCCGACCTCACCAAGATTCCAAAATCGCCGATCTGCTCCACATCAGAACTATGGTATTCAGTTGGCAATGCAAATTACCTCACAATGTTCAGGGGAAAAAAAGTATGGTTGGATCATAGAAAATTAGAACTCCCTCATATTTGAAATTGCATAGAATAGCTCATGAAGAGTACTAACCACATTAGTGTCACTATAATAATACAATAATAGACTACACAAAAATGATGTCAAAAATGAAAATGAACAAGAAAAATCTGATTTTGGAAAAAATTGAAATTTATTTTGGGATATCATGAAATAAGAAATTGATTTTGTGCTTCCCAAGTATTTAGTGAACCATAAATAGAACCCTAATAAGTCAATAAACCCCTGGTTACAACAAATTTCTTCCTCAATGGCCATTACACCAAGTAAAAAGGTAAATCAATAAATTCATCTCAACATAATATATTTGAGAAAACATGACAATCTTAATAAGATGAAGAGCATTTTGCTTGAATACAAAATTATAGAAGCTTTCCCACAACATAACAGGACCATTTGCCTTTATAACTTTAGTTCATGATAATTCGTGGTTTAACATGGTCCTCTTATCACAGAGAATCATAAAATTATTAGAGTGCAAATAAGATCGTAGACCAGGATTCTTCAAACCCAAATTAATTGTATAATCAGCTTCCTCAAACTACACCTCAAAATGGAAAATGCAAGCAGTATATCACAGAGGGTTGGCCAAAAGCAGGGGCAGAGCCAAAGAAGGTAATCCAGTGGGGACATGCATAAGAAATGTGATTTTGAAACAAGGTCATAAAATAGAGTATTGAAAACGTTATAACCTTTTGCGAAATGATTACCATTGTTTCCTACAGATTTTAATATTTTGAAAATGTTTCATAATAACCTTTATCTCTAACTATTCGGTTAGCATCTTTCACTTAACAAATCATGCGTTTTTCAAAGCATTACTATTCCATTATCAATATTATATAATATAATAATCCGATAGGCCCCAAATTCTAGAAGAATCCGGGAGGATTGAGAAGGGATTTGCAACAACCAAATTATGTTAAAAAGGGCAAGTGGGGGAGGGAAATTCTGTTAGAAATAGGCATATAAATAAGGGTAGAAGGTAGGCAATATTTGAGTGGAGGTCTCGAGAGTCCTGTTTACAGTTTACAGCCTTCTTCAGGCTTTACTATCAATTTCATTTCTTGTAATTGCTTCTCTTTCAATTAAAGAGTTTCTTAATCAGTGTTTAAGCTTGCTTTTCCAGTTGGTATCCTATCAATTGGTATCAGAGCGGTCGATTCTCGGACTAAAGGAAACTATTTTCAGCAGTAGAGAATCAAAAGAGAGTTGAGCTTGATAAGGAGTGAGCCGGAGAAGATGGTGATGCAATAGAAAGGAGGTCGAGCCGTTGATTCAGGGTTGGATTCATGTGGCCGACTCAACACACAGATATTTTATGGGGATAATTTAGACTTTATTTGGTACAACTATTAATCCAATTAAACTCAATTTTTTGACCGTTATTTTACTATTCCAACAGTTATTTTTGAATTGTTCTCTCACGGGTAGGACTCACTTTATCTCTAACGGTCAAAAAATTAATTATCAAAATTTCTACCAAACAAGCACTTAGATTCGTGGCTGTTTGAGGCAGAGCAATGTATAAACATTAATCAAAACTTACCGGAGAGGGAGAAGGTAGAAGCCGCAGTCGCTTCCATGGAGAGGCTTGGGCATGGTTTCAAGAGATAGACTATTGCTGTTCGATACAAACTTGGGGAGAATTAAAAAAATTGATGTTGGATCGATTTCGCATGAGTAAGGTCTCTGTTGGGGATGGATTTTCGTCCGGGAAGCAGAGTGACGGATTGAACTGGAAGACAGAGAATGAAAAGCCAGAGAAAGAACGACCAGCACTGGAAGAGGAACGTGAAAGGAAGGGGAATGGATGGGTGGGTCGCTACTTCACCGGAAACAAACCACGCATTTCTTTTGTCAACTTCTTCATTCCTTTCGCCAAGGTGTCTAGACTGCCATCTATCTCATCCCGTGGTTTGAGAAAAAAGGCGGAGCAACTGGCTCAAAGCGTGGCAGCATTAACACAGACCGTGAAGGGGCTGAGCCAAAGTTCTGAGGGAGAAGAGAAGACTAATGTGATGGAGGTTCAATCACTACCTAATGTTCACAAAGGACCCATGGGAGAAGAACAGGAAAGAAACAAGAAAAAAAAAAAAGAAACCGGAAGAGGCCCACCCTTATGTGCTTTCCGTCAATTCTAGGGTAATAGGAGAAGAGGGTAAAGAGACCAAGGCAGGTATAGGATGTCCATGACGACTAGGGTGCCAGAATCGAAGGTTGGAGATGCCAATTTTTGAAGGGGAAAATTCGGAGAGTTGGATCTTCAAGGATGAACTCTACTTCGAAGGGAATCAAGTAAGGGAAAAAGATAAATTAGAAGTGGCAGCAAACTACCTGGAAGATGTGGTTGTTGGGTATCAAAGGCGAAAGAAAACACATGGCTAGAAAGAACTGAAAATATTGCTTCTAGAATTCCAGCCGACACAGGGAGGACATAGGAAGGAGGAGAAGTTACTGGCTTTAGTGGGTTTGGACTTTAATAGAGAGGTGGCCCAAAATGGGCCATGCAATATTGCATTTAATCAAGCCCCAGATGGATTGGGCCTAAATAAAATGAGCTAAATGGCCCAACTACTATTTACACCCATAAAACCCATCAGACTACTCCAAGACCTAGTGTCAAGGATCGCAGCTTTATTTAGCCCCTTGACACTATCACAGCCGCAGTTTTCCCAACTTCGGCCGCCCATTGTAAATACTAGTTCAAATTTGAGTTGTAATTTTCTTTTCATTATAATATTTATTTCAGTTGTAAAATAACTCTGATATTTGTAAACGTTTAGTATGATTCCTTGTCATTTAAACGTCTACTCCTGTCACTTAGGTTTTTGTTCCGAATGCTATTATAGGGGTTTTAGTCATTCAAAAATCTTTCAAACTCACTGGTGTCCGCCCCCGCACCAGCAATTGTAATTTTTTGCTTTCGTCAATTGTAATGTTCAGCTTTCATTAATCAATGTTCAATTTACTTCCAATGTATTCAAATTCTCTGTTGTAAGCTTTCTACAAAATTGTAATCAAATTTTCTTTCGTCCCACGCGACCGAGAAAAGGCGGAAGGTAGTCTAGCGGAGCAGACTACTGCCGTACGGTGTCCCTTTCTGTGCCAAGAAGAAAGGCACCCTGTGAAAGTTGGCATCAGAGTTGCGGCTCACAACCTTCGATAAGAAGCTATGGATCCAATTACATCCCACACCACTAAGGCGGGACAGCCTCAAAATAAGAGTATTACTAAATAGCACATGGATGCGCTTGATGAGACAACTACTAGGTTGTGCTATGCCGTGGACGGTCTCGAGGAAAAAGTCAAGATGACAGAATCCGAGATTCGTAAATTACACATCCAATTGGATGAAAGTCAAAGGGCTTGCGCAGCAATGGCTGAAGCTACTGCAATCATTCCTGATATGTAGGATGAAATGGAAGCGCTGAGAGCTCAATTACGAGTACTCCAACGTGCGGTGGGCAATGGGCAAGCTCCCGTACCTGAGTATGCTCCTAGACTCAGAATTCCTGAACCGTGTACCTACAGAGGGGCACGTGATGCAAAAGAAGTCGAAAACTTCTTGTTTGACATAGAACAGTACTTTCTCACAGCTTCAATCGAAGACGAAGTAAGAAAGGTAACCACAGCTACTATGTATCTGGGTGGAGATGCAAAACTATGGTGGCAAACCAAATATGCTGATATTCAAGCCAACAGGGTCCGAATAGATTCTTGAGATCTCCTCAAGGAAGCGATCAAATCGCAATTTTTCCCGAAAAATGTCGAATACCAGGCTCGACGGGCACTTCGAGACTTGAAATATACAAGCTCTATCAGAGAGTATGTGAAAGCCTTTTCAGGGCATATGCTAAATATTCGAGATATGTCGGAATAAGCTCTTCACCTTTATGGAAGGGTTGAAATCGTGGACACACACAGAACTTCAAAGACAAAAGGTTACTGATTTGAGCGCGGCCATGGGAGCCACCGAATGTTTAAGCGACTACTAAACGGAATCTAGAAAAGATCGAGTAATCAAGCAATTGAAGGTGATAACAGACCTTACAGAACCAGCTCGAACCCAAATGGGGGAGAGCGTTACTCTCAGAATAAGGAAGGAGCCTATCGAAGCACCCGTGATTTTCAGAGAAATTATCATAATAGCCGTCAAGAAAATTATAACGGCAGCAACAGTGACAACTGGAGCAAAGGAAAAGCAATAGAGGACCGAACTGATGCCACTCCCAAATTGATGTGCTTTTTATGCGAAGGACCTCATTGGGTGTCGGAGTGTCCTCAGAAACGGAAGGTGAATGCATATTGTCAGCTAGCAAGTAGCGGGTCAAGTTCAAAGCAAGAGGCCCCACAGGCTAGTTGATGGTAAGACCGACTCCGAAGAAGATGAGGACGTAGTTGGGGAATTTTCACATCGGTGCAACACACTATCACATTGGGTTGTTGAAAAGGACGATGTCCCCTTAAAAGAGGCAAAGATGGAAGAAACGAAGGCTCGTATTTATAGGGCCAAAAGCTTAATGTATATTGATGTGAAGATCAACGGGAAGCCAATCAGGGCTATGGTGGATACTGGTGGTACCCACAACTACCTTGCATGTACCGAAGTAGAGTGACTCGGACTTGTTCTGAAAAATGGTAGTGGGAAAGTTAAAGCAATCAACTCCGCTGCTTAACCAATAGCTGGAGTGGCGAAATCGGTATTGATCAAAGCAGGTCCTTTCGAGGGAAGGAACAATTTATCTGCAGTTCAAATGGATGATTTCAAACTTATTCTATGATTGGAATCTCTTCTGAATACTAAGACAGCAATGTTGCCATATTTCGATTCGTTAATGATGATGGGTAATAAACCGTGTGTCATTCCTACACAAGTTGGGAGGATGGGCGAGAAAAAGTATCTCAACCATGCAAT